CCCGTCTCGTGCATTGCTGATAGTTTCATATAGAAACAACAATCATATTTTTGTTTTCGTATTATTATTCCCATGTGTTGAATATGAATGAAAAAAAAATTCAAACATTAGTTTAATGACAAGATATTTTTACTTTCTGATTATTAATATCAAGAATAGAATATATATTACTAAGATCCAGTAGTCGTTTTATTAATCATATTTCTACGAATGTAATAAATTTGAAATAGATATTCAAATTTCATGAATTGTTTTTTATTACGATTGTAAAATAGATCAAATCATGTTTCGTGGCATGAATTATACTCAAATATAATATTTTTTTTTCATTTTATCAAAAAAGTCTTTCGTTCATGCTTATATCTATAATTTTGTTTTTTGTTTAACTACACCTGTGATGATATAAAATTATCCAATGAGACATCGAATATTTTTATTCGTAATAATAACATCGATTATCAAATTTGATCATAACTTTCGTTAACGACTATTTTTGGCTTCTTTAGTTAAAAACTAATCAAGCATTTAAAATCCCCCCTCTCTGGTTTTTGTCCTTTATCTATCGTTATTGGGATTTGGATTTTGACGAGGCTAAACGGTAATAGGTAACAAAAATGATTTATTATTATTGCCTACTTCCCATTTACTGTCAAAATCTTGATAAGAACAGAACAAAAAAAAAATAGCGAATATGCAGATATATTTTTGAGTGCTTTCTTACTCATTTTTATTCATAAAACGTAATCATCACAATAACGATTGTTGAGAAACTACGAAAATAATGAATCGATACGTTACGCAAGGTGACTTATCGGTAGTAGAAAAAATTTTTGTCTATTTGTTTTTACCCTCTAGTCCTTGGCGTGATAAGAATGTAAAGATAATAAACGATTTCTTTTATTATTTAATATATATTGTATTTGAAAATAACATATAATAAAACATGTACGATAAAAAATTGGCTAATTCATAGAGGACAGTATATTTTTACATTTCACATTTTGATCAAAATCTTTTGGTCGTATACTGTTGGTTTCATCAAGAAATGTTTTAAAATCAACTTTAGATATTGGATTATAACTTGTTCCTTGAAGAGTGTGAGAAAAGAGTTTACTGTATATATTGATAAACTGTTTTTGACTAAAATATATAGCTTCGATGTTTAGAGATTTATTCGATTTTACAGCAAAAACTGCAACTGAACAATGATTTGTTCTTTGTAAATTATAAAACCTTCCACACTGCATCTTCTCCTATAATTTAGTATTTGAGTATTATATATTTAATAACAGCAATAGTCGGTTAGGGAATATAGTTGAATTTGGAATGTTATAAATTAAGAAATTCAGATTAAAGATAAAATTGATTTTTTGATTACTAAAGTTTCTCATTCATTATGAATATTATTTTATAAGCAGGACATGCGGGACATTCAGCGATTACTTGTTTATATTAAGTTATTTTATTATCCAAGGTATATTGATTTTGTATCATCTGTTTAGATGTAATAGATAGAGATTTTAGGGAAAATATGTATAAATGAGTATCAGTCATCTTTCGAACGATGTGCATAGGAAGAAAAGAAGAAAAATTTCTGTGTGCTCTTACAAAACTACGTGAAATTATGTCAATCATAAAGCTACTTTTACATACTAAGAATTTCTCTTTTAGAAATTTTTTTTATTCTTATTTTTTTTTCGCGTATTCTAATCTCAACTAAATTCTCATATCAACTGTAACATATATATTGATCGATTGTCTTTAACACATGGCCTAATTGGATAGTTGAATTCAAGTTTCAAGTATTGCATATATGGAGATATAGAAATAGGCCATCAAAATACGATGTATTAAAAAATAAAATTATCTATTTTATATAAATAATAAGAAAGTGCTCTTGGATAATTATACATGCTGTGATATACAATACCGATGTTTTTATAGGGAGCACTCAAATCAGGATGATTAGAAGGAAACTCCATTTTAGGATAACTACGAATGTTGAGAAATCTGTGAAAACCTTGAAATCATGATTTCGATATCGAGGTTCACATCGCATATTTGTAGTCGAATGAAACTCGAATAACATCTAATTTCTTTCGTTCTATTGCCACATATACATATATCATATATAATGTTCTCTTCCATATATCGTTCATGGATTTTTCCTTTCTTTCTGCTATATAGATTTCTCCTCCCCCATCGTTTACATATGTATTGCTATATGTCATGGGACTTTTCCTCATCTTGTTCCCTTGATCTTCTGTTGGACATATCCTTAATAGGGTGTTCTACCATCCTATCTATAGTGTGTATTTGTCTTCGAATAAACACAGGTATAGGATTCACACCCTCACAATCTATTCTACGCATATTGATAAGATCTAGCAGCAAAACGAAATGAATATATAAATAAAAGAATTTTAGTTGATAACAATAACAAAATCGATAATTTTATTATTTTAATAATCATTCATCATGATTTCTTTTTTTCGAAACAACGGAAGAATTACTTGTATCATTTTCACTGTTCAATTGTTCCCAAATTTTAGTATTTGGTGTAAAATATAAATCACGAAAATTATTAAATAGTTTTTCATTCACAGTAGCTTTTTCATCACCAGTACTTTCACGTACTTTAATCATTGTTATTAATCGTCGACTAGTTGTATGATTAAGTTGTTGTTCATCATTAGAAAATAATTTGAAACATGGATGTGTTGGTAATAAACTTTCATCATATGTCATTATATGTGTTGGCATAAAAAAAAACTAATCGACCACCAATACGTAAATAAATATTAGCAAAATTTATTAAATCAACATAAATATTTGTTAAATCATATTTTTCTGGTTCAGTATCTGTTGCATCACCTTGTCGACGACTTTTATGTTGAGATGATTCACGAATACCATA